TTCAAAGAGACGGACGACCACCCCTTACTGAAGGGAACCCCCAGGCTTTGCACCACCGGACTTCGCGGGTTCTAAGACCCGATATCGTTATAGTTCCGGAGTCCTCGACCTCTTTTCCCCAAGAAATTCCAAAGGAAATTGAGAATCAGGTCAATTTCCTCAAGTTAACTCGGCACGTTATCACTACCTTCATTAATTAACAAACCCTCGGGCCTGCGGTCATGCGGTTGTACGAATTCAAGAGATTTCAAGACATCGACTCGGCATTTTGGAATACAGCTATTTCAAAAAATGTTGTCAGAGATTGGAATGTGAAATGTAGAGTATACAAGAGTCACTGGCGACTGAACACTGCTGAAAGGAATCAATTGTGGATATCAATGCCAAAGAACAGACGGCAATAACCCGTTATAGAAGGTCTTCAGTCATTGGAAGCCATCAAGCCATCGCATACTAGTGCAGCGTGCAGCTTTTGCTAAAAATTCATTGATCTCACTTTAGAATTGAACTGAAAATGTCTGAATATTCTTTTTATTATACTCGAACACCCGTTATAAAGGAGCGTGCATAGCTTGCACTATTCATAACATCGATCTTTTCCACCAATAACAATTCAGCATCCTCGGGAAGCCAGGCGTAATCTTCTGTCGTTCATTCCCCACTCCCAGAACGACGAGCACAGAAGATTACGTCTGGGCTATATAGTCGTAGGATCAAGGGAGGGATTTTTTTCTTCCTCCCTGGKCTCCCTTGCATGGTGAAATAGTGGACCTCCAACTGGGTACATAATTTGTCATCAAGATCATAACTCACAGTGGATTTTACTCAATCATCTTTCAATTCAAATCCAATTAAAAGCAYATTTATCAATTAAGTCTTCGCCTCAAGAAATGATAGCACTGCGTTTTGTAAGGTCATGTTGTTCATCCTAATWGCACATTTATCAGCAAAACAAGCTATAGTGAAGGTCGAACCTGGGGTCGAAGACTATCCCTTACCTATGTACCCTGATTGTCCGCAGGGGTCTGGAGAGGAAGATCAAGCAATAGACTCTTCCGCAGTCCCCTGCTCGGCTTTTGGTCTTCTCGCAAAAAAAAGCAGGGGACTGCGGAAGAGTCTAGATCAAGCAAGTTATGAAAGTGGGATGTGAAGTTCTGTATCGACCGGCAGAGGCGGACTGTGCTATAGGGTGTATCGGCTGCTGCTTGCTTTCCCCGGAAACATTTGATATCTACTGAAGAAAATGCGATTTCCAGCATTTTGATGGGTGTTGACAACGATTTTTTWAATCAGGAAAAGAAGCAAAGAAGGGAGTAAAGGTCTGGTTTAGGTCCTAGTCCCTTGGTCCTACGCTAGCTATTTCCTGTGCAATATACCTTTTCTTAATACAAAATCATGTTGCATTGTTGTCTAGTTTCTGTACAAATAACACCATATTTAGAAATATGAATAGAAGATTGAAAAAGATTCTTGCACAGAATTTAGGCCAGCTGGACACGATGCAAAGTTCAAGCAAATTCAGATAAAGTCAAATGTCATGTCCGCTAAAACAGTCCTCCATCAGAATTCTGGATACGTAGATATTTGCCAATGACATTTGACATTTGGCAATGAGACATGTATCAATACAGATTAACATCCTGGCCAAAATATTAAAATTCAGACAGTTGAAATGMATTGAAATGCTGAATGACGCATGTTTTGATTTGCCTTCCCAAGCTCCACTTCGGTCGTAACTTCGATGATAAGCTCTTGGAATCCGATTACGTTTTTTTAATTCGGTGTAAATCAAATGCAATCAACGTTTTGTTCATTTTGTGTCTGTCAACTGAGTAACTATATGTTAAATTAGCAATTYATTTTATTTATTTCTCTATTTTTATCTATTGATCTATATGTTTATTTTGTTTGTTCGCATCGACTTGCATTTTTTTCAATAAACAGTGCTCTATAATGAGTCTGATGTAGTTTAGAAGATTAATTAGTTTTTTGAAAGACTTAATACTGCCTAAGGTGTTTTTATATAAACAGCAACTTCATATTTAATATGTTATCATTCAAATAAAACGAAACTGCTTAGCAAAGCAGTTCTATAAATATACATGTATTCCTTAGTAAAATCGCAAGACGAGTCAATCATGACAAAGCATCATCCGAAACAGGTGCAAAGCATCGGCGAAAAAAATATAATATTTCAATAAAACATACAAAGTACGAAACCACAGGAAAAATCTTTTTGAATTACAAAACAAGATCGAAAATTTGTTTATTTTTTTCATGGAACAAGGAGAACTTTTGAGTTATATCATTGGTATAGCTAAACTGCATAGAATAAGACAAAAATGTATAATATATATCAAAAAATCATATTCTTAATTTCTTTAAACATTTTGACTAAAAAGACCGCGCAAATTCTTGTTGTGTCTTCTCAAGTCAAGGAGTCTAGATTATAATACGAAATAGTAATACATGCTAAACACTGTCTACTAAACTAAAATACCTTTTASACACGAAAGTTTTGTTTCCATACCATTTGGCATTTCCAACGTAAAGTTTAGACTCTAAACAGTCTGACGCAGGCTCTAGGATGAGAAATCTTGACTGTTGTTAGCAAGACAAAGAGGGTTTGAGCTGTTTGAGACAACCTCTTGGGCTATCGTGCTGTGGGATTTCGTAGGTCGAACAGACCAACAACCTAACATGCATTCAAAATTAAAACCAGCATTATCTATACATTGTTATAGGGCGGATTTGAATGCGTGATTTGAATAGATAAAAAAGTAGAATAAACTGGAATTTTAAAAAGAGGGTTGATAAATGATGATTTGAGTTGATATTCTAAAAAAAAAGTGTTCCCTGAATAAACACAAACATTTACAATCTTGATTGCTAATGAATATCACTTGTCGCACGTAAATGAACTTAGCGTGGGCCTCTTAAGCGTTTGTTTTTTCAATTTTTTGATAACAAGTCACTTATAACCAAAGAGCCAGTTATTAGTTTTACAGTTGTTAAGCTAGGACCTCATCTATATTTCTATTGAAGGTTTATCAATATGCAAACCATCTCAGAACTTTCAAATCTTTCTTCAGGAAAGGACAGACAAAGCATTCGAAGCAGCAAAGCTATGGAAGTTTGATTAATGAGTTTCCAGATAATTCGCAGTTGTTTTTCCACCGGTAACCAACATGTTTGAAACTTGCACTCTTAATGATTTTACCGTATGACAATAACATTAACTGTTTTCATATCTTTTCTTGATTCAGTACCGAAGACTTGAATAAGGTTATCATAAATAAACATTGTTTGTTGAGATTCAATGTCTGACCATCTCAAGCAGGACAAAAATCGATTTTATCAGCACAAACTTGGTCCTATTTGTGCGAAAATCCCGCGGTGTAAAAAAAATTGTCGGATAGAAGATGTAATGTACGACTTAAAAGCATTGTGGGAATTTTGATTAAAATCTGGAGCACAATCAGTTCAGACGGGTTGTCATAACAAACAGCTACGACTGTGCGCAAACCTCGWTACCAATCCAAGGACTGTCAGTCTGTTATTGGCTCTATTTCTTGAAATGACGTCTCTAGACTTAATAGCATGTTTTGCAGTCAAAGGACTCCGCAGTATCGTGCTTGGTCTCCCTATGATATTCAAAACGTGGGTTTGTTATTATCATCCGAAAAGTACTCAGCGTACGCATTACAGAATCAACTCAAAGTACCGAAAATCTCCATCCATTAAAGTCAGCTCCAGGCGAGTAGTATAGAAGAAAAGCCGACAATCTTTCCCCTTATTTACTTTATGTATACTTTCGCCATGTTTCCATAGTGCTTCACGCCCAGTAACATGGTGAGAAATGACCATYGCTTTTAGTAACAAAAATTGATAACTTTATTTCTATAGCGGCATATGCAATATGAGTGTTCTACACAGTCATTTTYAAATACACTAACCTAAGATAAATTTATCATTAAATGATATCAGTGGCTTCATCCTCGTGGGCAACGCCATGTGAAGTTTTACTCTTTTTTTTTTACTCTCTTTTCACTAAATAGATTGCAAATCATCCCAAAAGCTGGAAAGTATGTTTATTAAAAGTAATTCAAGCATAACCTGCAGTTTTTTGTTGATTTTTTTTGACAAATTAAGGGTTTAATTTGAAATAGTGTCGACTATATCTTTATAACAATTACAATTATACTGAAACATACAAATGAATAAAATGCTAAAGAAAAACAATACAAATAATACATAAAAATTATATTAATAATATCTAAAAAGGTAAGTTTTCAGCTTAGATTTATAAACAGCTGATGTCTAGCGGCAATTCATTCCACAACGAATTGGGCGGGCGGAGACCGAAAAAGCCCTACATCTATAGCTTTTTTAAACGTCAGGACTTTGATACTTGAAACATTCCTGCAGATCTTATACACCTAGTATGGTTATAACAAAAAAGACTTTAGCTGATATAGGAAGCAGTCAGGTATCACTCAATGATCTATATTATAGTTACACAGCATTGGAGGACGCGCTCTTTAGGCGCGCCTTTTTTCTTGTGTTTGTTTTGCCTTTGTTTGTTTGTTTTTTGTTGTTTTTGTTTTATAAATACCCTTAAACATCGGTATAAATACAGTATTTATAGTAAGAAACAATTAGCAAACGTAAAAGCTAGACTTAACATCGATGGTTGAGACTACACCGTGACTGATACTCTCATGTTGTCTCTCTCGTGTCGGGAACGAACAAGTGTGGATTCCGTCTCACGTGTCGTCGGTTGAATGTGAGGTGGCGATGCACTGACAGAGAGAGCATTTACTAAATAGTCAGTTAAGGCTTTTAGATCATTTTATATACATCAGGGTGAATTGAATAATTTAAATTCTTCCGACAGTGTTGTTTGTTACTACATTTCCGGCAAAATCAGTTTATGTTCTGTGGTACTTACTTAGAGTGTTGAATTTCGACATAATACGCATTAAGGATGAGGAATCTTGCTATTTGTTCGTTAAATTCATCATTCGTATTTGYTTGAGCTCAATCGTAGATGTACAATACTTGCTGTACCTTGAATTAAGTGTAAACGAAGAAGTATCGTTGATTTTGGCTCGGCCCCTAAAACAAGGGATTTTTTGAAGCATATTCTTCGTGCTGTATCTAAAAAACTGAGAGTTTCCAATGTAAATAAATGGATTCATTGAACTGTTCAAGAGAGCAAGAAACCCGCCAATGTAGCGAACAATAAAGTCATTTTGGTAATTAAGCTTCAATTCTAGAACAAATTTGATTAAACTATAGCAAAAGAATACCGAGTACGGTAAAGAAAATGCTAAAAAGACTTTGAGGAACATCTTTGTTCTTACGAATCGACCTGTTAAAGAACTATTGATGTGACRCAGCTTTCCAGCTTGACTGAMTGATTTRCGCTTGCGAAGAAATCGTACAATCGAGAAAGAAACGAATATGAGAATCAGGTTTGGGATGTAATATTGGAACAGGCTAACGACAATAAACAGTGTTTTTCTCCATGACATTTTAGCACATGGAACACAGGCGTACGTCCAATTTGTTCCGTCGAGTTTATAGGGTACTAATTGAACCAGCGTTGTCAAACTGCCCGCGCTAATGATTCCACCCAGCCAAGCAAGAAYAACYACAATCTTGATAACRTKAGATCTCGGGATACGCAGGGGATGGAAGATAGYAAAATACCGCTCKACTGCTATAACCAAGAGATTGTTGATTGTAACCATTGGGAACATATAGAAAGGAAACCGAGCAAGTCGACAAAACCAAAGATTCTGTCGCGCGTCGTAGAACAGTTGCAAGGACATAATAAGCGACGCAAAGATTGAGCACATTATATCTGATATGATCAAACTTTGTARAAAATATCTGGTCAAGTAGGGTCTTCCGAATGATCTTTTGGCTGTAACGCCTTTCTTGCTGTAGGAAATCTTTCTTATTATGAAGTGGACGAGAACATTTCCAACAAGTCCAACCATCCCAAACAGTAATGGTAGAATCAACAGCARCCCGTGGTAAAAGGTGTATGTTGGAGTGAAAGTATATTGTCCACTTGAGTTGAAAAACGTCATCATGTAGTCAGTGTTCCTACTCACGAAAAAATTCWTTAAACAGATCATTCTTTTAGCAAAGCATTTATAGCCGATTCACATACCTGCTGCGCGAGGATTATTTTAAGCGTTTGGACCGTTTTCCTCAATCTGTTTTCGTGCATTTAGAAAATTGTAAAAGCGTAATTATTTGCGATGGAAAATCTTAGATGCCTATTGATTGATTTTTATTCTTTGATCAAGAAGATTAAYCAAAAACAACGGTGGCAGCCTGCAGCTGCAACAGGAACTACACGCAGAGTCTTCAGGCTCTCAACAACTGACTTGAAAAACATCAAAGTTTCTCAGAATTACGAAAACGTCTTTCAGTTGATTCTCTCTAATTTTCTGATCGTGTAAATTATCAGTCATTTGCAAAATTTCTGACCTCGTATACCATTTTATACTGGTTCATCATGAGTAATTTCACATGGTTTTCGCTCTTTTCTCGTTCAAACAGACCGAAAATCATTCGAATACTTTGAAAGTATGCTTATTAGATTGATTTTTTAAAGGCTTTTAAAGAAAATAGGTATGGCCTAAATTCCTAGAAAATACCAACTGAGTGTCAACCTTTTTCATGCTGAGCGCGACCTACATTCTCTTTTGTTTCGTTTCTTTGAGATCGAGCGACCTCAAATACAACAGCAGTCGTTCCTTTCGGCCGAAAAGCAAAATGACGCACAGCTAGGATTCTTAATGGATAGTTTCTCAACCTACACAGCGAGACAAAAAGGAAAAAAAAACCGATAACACACGAATATGTCAAAATATAACTTAAATAACTTACAACAAAACATTAATCTCCTTTTCAACTAGCCTACATAGGCGGCTCTTGGAAAGTGGCAGGAAAGACAGAAGGGAGATGGAAAACACCACCTAACCCACTSCCTTAGAGGCGCAGCAAACTAGACGCTCTTAAAGCGTTTACTCGGGCTGAAGCAAAGAGCAGTCATGTGACAAATGCAAAATGATATATGCCATAGGCATCAAAGTAAATTGTGTTTTTACAGATGAATATATAACAGCAAAACTAACTATAACTCGCGAAATGATAATTAATAGATGCATATGTTATCGGGGGTTTACTCATGTGATGTCGCATAGCACACAGATTGAATCGGATAGACCTCAACAGTGCGGTTCATTACCATTTTTGTGGACTGAYATAAGCACGCGTGAAAATCAAGTGATTGTATGTTGTGCACAGCATTTACCTTTAGTTGTCACGTGTAGTAAGTGGCTTTGAGGTCARCAGCGTTGATCTTTTGGACCCAAACGGTTCCAAAAGTACACATTTTGGTTATAAAAATGTTTGTATTACATATTATTGCCGTTTTAGTTAACTTTATGCATATAACCATTACATCAAAGCACCTATCAACTCTCTCTCCTCCCCCCAAGTAAAACCATATCCACGGACTTGTACAGTGACCAGAAAATGGAATATATATATAGTTACATTTTTAAAGCACTTTTAGAACGTTGGGGAAAATGGCAGTGAATAGAAAAAAAGAAGGAAGAATTTTATTTAAGAACTCCCCGTTTTAAACTATCTTAGAGAATTAATTGAAAGTTGAATGTTTTGGTTGTTGTTGAATGATTCCGTTGCAATTCCTGTTACGTTGCTGCCTCAAGCRAAATCATTCGATWAACTAATAAGCAAAAAGAGTCGATCTAGTATGTCAATTAATTAATTTGTATTAAAAAAACAAGAAACTTATTTAAACTTGCACATGTCATCAAAGTTTAAAAACAAAAGATCTCTGTGGGGATCGTCATCGATTAACTGAAATCAATGGACAGATAAAAACAACTATTTCGCCGCCAAACTGAGAAACTGAAACGACTTTAAAGTTATTTTTAGCAATTTCTCAGGCGCGTGCAAACGTACGTGCTTTGAAACAGGAAACCTAAGCTAGGAAGGCAACCACGCAAAGCGGATATATTCTAATAGATAAAAAACCTTTACCATTGAATAAAAGGATTACCATTTCGACAGCACTTGTAAGACTTATTACTGACCCGACTAGAAAGTCTCAGYTATGATGCAGTTTCAGTTCAACTCAAGCGGAACCTATGTTTTCACTCCAACATACATCCACTACCATGGGTTGCTGTTGATTCTACCATTACTGTTTGGGATGGTTGGACTTGTTGGAAATGTTCTCGTCCACTGGATAATAAGAAAGATTTCCTACAGCAAGAACAGCGTCACAGCCAAAAGATCATTCGGAAGACCCTACTTGACCAGATATTTTCTACAAAGTTTGACAATCTCGGATATATTATGCTCAATTTTTGGTTCTGCAATGTTTTCTTTGCAGATTTTTTACGATGTGCGACAGAATCTCTGGCTTTGTCGACTTGTTCGGTTCACTTTYTATATGTTCCCAATGGTTACTATGAACAATCTCTTGGTTATAGCAGTCGAGCGGTATTTTGCTATTTTCCATCCGTTTCGTACACCAACATCTAATGTTATCAAGATTGTAGTAATTCTTGCTTGGCTGGGTGGAATCATTAGCGCGGGCAGTTTGACAACGATGGTTCAATTAGTACCCTATAAACTCGACGAAACAAATTGGACTTACGCCTGTGTTCCATCCGCCAACATCGCATGGGAAAAAGTATTTTTTATTTGTTTAAGCCTGTTCCAATATTACATCCCAAACCTGATTCTCATATTCGTTTCTTTCTCGATTGTGCGGTTTCTTCATAAACGCAAATCGGTCATCCAAGCTGGAAAGCTGCGTTGCATCAATAATTCTTTAGCATGGCGCTTGGTAGGAACAAAAATGTTCCTCAAAGTATTTTTAGCATTTTCTTTACCTTACTCGATATTCTTTTGCTATAGCTTGATGAAATTTTCATTAAATTTTAAACTTAGCTATGGCAATGACTACATTATTCGCTATATTTGTGGTTTGSTTGCTCTCTTGAACAGTTCAATGAATCCATTTATTTACATTGGACACTCTCAGCTTTTTAAATCCAACATGAAGAAGTTGCTTGAAAACTCACCTTGTTTTAAGGACAGAACCACAAGCAAAGATACAGTGTTTGCACTTAATTCAAGCTACAACAAGTATTGTAYATCTGCAATTGAGCTCAAGCAAATACGAATTATGAATTTAACGAACAAATAGCAAGTTTCCTCACCTACAACCAGGCCATAACAACTGCTCAGTTTAGCCAGAAAGCCTTGCCGGAGGAAAACAACAACAGCAAATAAACAAGCAAAAAACATTAGCAACAACAACAACAACGACAACAACAAACAAACAAAAGCAGTGATGCTGTGTAAATCAAGCTACAGCAAGTATTCAGCCATACCTCATGAATTTAACGGACAAGAGCATCATTTTTTTTAAAGATTTTTAATAAATATCAATACAATAATATTACAAAAAAAATCACAAATTAAATAGGTACATATATTATCCTTAAATTTACAATAATATTACATTACATTGTGGTAGAGGAAGAAAAGAAAAAAAAACAAAAAAACAAAACAAAACAAAAAACAACAGCAAAAAAAGCAACTTTCATCATGCCATTCCATTGTTAATATTCACTATAATCATCCGCTATCTTCCTGTAATAAACGCCTTCTGCTTGAATAAAAGTACATTCTCAAGGGTAATGCTATATCTCTAATATTAAAAAATCGCGCGCTTTAATTATCAAAAATGATGTAAAATTGATCATTTTGGACACTTACATCATATTTCAATACATCAAATTTACAACCTTTAAAGCGCGCAATTGTTTATGTCTGATTATTTCTTAGTACTTAAAATCCGCCTTCGGTGYTTGTTTCGATCAATTAAGTGTTTTTTCTGGGTGTACACACTTAAGCTTAATTCAAGCAACCGTACGTATATTGGCCCTCAAGCATATAAAAATAATGATTTGATGAACAAATAGCAGGGTACGTTTCCGCCATGAATTCATCGTCTGGACAATGGAGCTGTATTTCATTAGGAAGAAAGTATATTTTTTGACGTCAAGCCGGCAGCTGACTCTGAGTCAGACCGAGGGATAATTATTGCATGCGGGAATTCAAAATGGCCAAAGAACTTTTAAGTTAAAAAAAACTGCTAAATCTGGATCCTTTAGAATAGTTGATTTTGAGCTAAGTTTATATTAACTTAGAATAGYTTATTTTGACTTTGTTCAAGTTTCATCTTCCTTAGAGCTTTAATTCAACTGAAATCAAAGTCAATCTTTTTGTTGACTCTCGAACGTTTTCTTCGATGAAATGTTTCTATTATCAAAACTGTATTTTTACATCCATGTTTAAAAATTACTATCATTCGCCGCTGATTATAGTTTTGCAATTAAAACCGAAAGCTTGCTAAGTTTTCCTTGATTTCTTGATCAATTTTATACGGATTATCATTCATCCTCTTCAATTGTTAATATTCACTGTATACCTAATTTTCCTGTGATGACTTGGAAAACAATAACGACAGTTGAACARCTCTGTGAAAGCC